CCAGATGAACAATTTAAGTCTGCGTGGCATAAATCGGTGTCTTACCCTCTGCTATCATTGCGCGAAGTTCTCCTTCATCGTTCCGGATCTACGCAGCAATTTCTAGTTTCCGTCCGTGTAATTGTTTAGTGCGCCAGATGCCACCATTGATACTTCTTGGTTCACAGCAACACCGCTTACCTCTTCGTCGGCTATTTTCCTGCCATTCTTTTTCTGGTAAATGATAAAATATTTATGATTCCTGCCATTCTGTTCCTGTTGTCCCTTTCCTCGATTAACTCCAGCCATTGTCAAATCCGTGTTCACTGACGCCAAATGTCCTCGATAGCCGTAGTGATTTTCTTCGCGTTGTGTTATGCTTTTAAACTTAGAGGGTTCTTAAGTTCTTCAAATTCTCTTAGATACATCTTGATTCTTTTCTCCTGAAATTGTTTTCTCCCATCTCCTGTCCCACTGTTCATCAGAAGTTGCTCGTGCCGTGCACAAGCAGTAATCTTGACGTAACCTCGTCAATAATAACAAATGAGAGAGATTTCCACTCGCATCAAGTAGATCATGCCAAAAGTAAAGTAATGGAGCTGGACACCTTTCGAACCAAACTGTCAATATTTCCCAAAAACTCACTTCATGGCACTCAAACTGAAACTGGCTGCTGGCCGGTCGTTCCTTGTCCAGATCATAACCCTGCTGGTCGCCGGACGGTGCCACTGTGACGTCAGTCGGCGCCGCTCTTACCCAATCATGCCGCATGGCACGCGTCGAGTTGTTGACAGTAAGCCCACGCTTTGAATGGTGACTACGTTTATTATTGGTCGACCAGAATAAAATAAGATAATTTCGGTGCCACGTGATCGCGCAAGGCAGGCAGAGATCTGCAACACTAAGAGGCTTGGCCAATCCGGCGTAACGCCAAGCGTTCACGAGAATGTGACAGGCGCAGGTTCATTGACCTAAAACTCACTCGCTAATTCCACATAGCATTTCTTGCAAAATGATCGGCCCCGAATCTGGTCATGGCTCGCATGTTAGTCGACGAAATCGGCAAATTTGCAGTGACCTAGTGGTTTGGCAATTGAAAACTCAAGTGATGAGAAAAATGCAGATATTTAGGCCAACACACGGATGCATTTTTGAAAAACGGCCGACTATGACTCAGGTAAGGGTTGGCGATTTAATTCATTATCGATGAATTTGTAATGACTGAGACTATGCAAATGGTGACCGAAACATCACAAAGAGCAAATCTTTCGGATTGATACTGGTGAAAAAATACAGTGCTGCGCGTCGATGTTAATTCCATGGCCCAAAAGCTCTCGATTTACGACAGTAATTCTTAGAAACGTCCCAAAACGGGCAGATCTGTCGTTCTGCGCTCATGAGCGCGTGGCGGTCTGCACGCATCGACCCACTTTTGCAATGCATTGTCAGTTTTCGCTCCTCTGTCAGACTATTTTCATCCCTTGTCGCTTCGATACTAGGTTGTCAAGATTTGGACCCGGTTTCGACCCACGCTTGCCGGCGCATCGCAATTTGGAAATCTTGTCATCCATGCGTTAACCGAAATGTGAAGGTTGGCTCGGTAATGCTTTTCAAAAGCTGCTGAAAAAACCGTCTGCGATCAGGCAGCAAAGAACTGGAAAACAGCGAACAGCTTGAATGCCATTGCTTAATAATGTATACAGCGCGATGTTTGCAGAACTGCGATTTATGGCTCTGGCACTTGTTAACTCACAACGGGCAGTTGCCAAAGATAACAGGTTTTGCAAACCGTGCCTGCCCAGCCTGGCCTGCTATTAAAGCAGCATCCAACAGAGTAGCTTCCTGTGTCTGGGGAGAGGGGGCATATATTGACATTTAATGGTAAGACACCTCCGATATGTGTAAGTTAAACAAAATGCGTTTAAAACACCGCAAGAGCTCAGGCCGTAGCGGACGAGCCAAAAACGCGTGTACTGAATTAATTGAACACCGAGTCGTGTTACTATCCGTACACGTGTCGTGCGGTCTGGCTGGAGAAGTGCTGCATATTCCGCGGCTGTTAGGTTTCAAGTGTCCCGTGCTTGGTGTAGCGGGGGCCACTAGTGAGCCCAATTACCCACTGTTTGCGGGCACGCAAGCTCAGAAGTGGCACCTCTAGTCCGCAACAGCTGACAGCCTGCAGAATCTGCAGCGGGTTCTGTAGCTAGTTTACAAGGTGTGGGCATTTAGACAGCAGAATGTAAACAGAGTTTTTCAGGTTCGATAATGTGCTTGGTGGTGTATTTCCTCAAAACATTTTTTCCAGGTTAACCTACACCTTTGTGCTGTAAAGAACCAGTTATCTGATGGAATGATCAGATTATGACGACAATGGAGTTGACGGTAGTATGTGTTCTCGAAATATTCTATTAAAAGTTGTCTTTTTGCAGACGTGAACAACTTCTTCCGCAGAGGCATTTCTATATGTGTGATGTTGTGTCTGTATTGCCTTCTAATATTGATTTCAAAACTTAGCGAACTTTTAGAGAAAGCTTCTTTATCCCATCAGGCCAGCTGAGCAAAAACATCAGCCAGCTGCAAAAGACACTCATCCACGCAGGTAATTACCTCATGCAACTTTGACGGTTGCCTCGCTAGGTCAAAACTTTTAGTCTGCTGGCAATAATTTCGTGCTGGTGGGGATTGGGCTGAAAGTCAGCCGTGGGGAGACAGGACAGCCAGCTCAAGCGGGTCCGTGCCTGGCGCGTTCTCACGCGTTCCTTGCGAGTACGGCTGCAGACAAGCTCTGCCATTAGGGATAGCAATGTCGGGAGCGGGATCCGAGGGCTGAAATCAGTTCCGGTCCGGTAATTTGTGTTTTTCAATTGTGATTCTCGATGTTTGGAGGAGTGTCCCCCCCCCCTTTGAAGCGTTTTTATGAGATATACTCCAGTGAAACAAGCCTCAAGACCAGCTACGTCTAATAATAACACTGGGTATGCCGCTATAGCACCGTCAAGATATAATCAGGATATCAATTGTAATTATCTTCGAGTCAAAATTACGTTGCCAACGCCTTGTTAAGCACTACGCTTCTTGTCTGCAGTTGTCATGACCACCGTCAAGATGACAACCATCTTGGTGCACTACAACTGTTTAAAATTTTTGCAGCTTTTATTGCATTAACATGTTGACAAACTAGTGTGTTACCAACATTATAGAACACACACAATGGAAAAAGGCAAGACAAATGAATTACTTTCATATTGGTGGTCAGGGAATCCAATGAGATTTCTGCCGCAGGAGCAGCTGCTTCAAACCGAAATTTTGAGCTGGTCAGCAGGAATTCGAAAAAAATGGCATTACTGATCAAATCACATGCATTTGATCTAACAAAAGCGATAAATATAAAAATATGGCAAAGGTGGTGGCTTCATTTAAGAAAGTATTCTGCCAGATTTGTAAAAAGTATCCTTCCCTCAACCTAATTTTCAGAACCGTCAATAAACATCATTACAGCACCATATAAAGCTGTGAGCCAGAAGACAAATACACGTGTGGCGAAAAGGCCGGCTTTTCGCAAGGCTGACTTTTCGCAGGGCTGACCCGTTGCGGTGCCTGCTGGAAGGACTAGGACTGGCGACCTACCCGAATCCTCGCGCTTCCAGCCTCAGTGCGCGACACAGAAGGACTGGGACTGGCGACCTACCCGAATCCTCGCGCTTCCAGCCTCAGTGCGCGACACAGAAGGACTGGGACTGGCGACCTACCCGAATCCTCGCGCTTCCAGCCTCAGTGCGCGACACAGAAGGACTGGGACTGGCGACCTACCCGAATCCTCGCGCTTCCAGCCTCAGTGCGCGACACAGAAGGACTGGGACTGGCGACCTACCCGAATCCTCGCGCTTCCAGCCTCAGTGCGCGACACAGAAGGACTGGGACTGGCGACCTACCCGAATCCTCGCGCTTCCAGCCTCAGTGCGCGACACAGAAGGACTGGGACTGGCGACCTACCCGAATCCTCGCGCTTCCAGCCTCAGTGCGCGACACAGAAGGACTGGGACTGGCGACCTACCTGAATCCTCGCGCTTCCAGCCTCAGTGCGCGACACAGAAGCGGGCCCGGTCTCAAGCAACTTGTTTAAATGCAGGCGATGAACCATATTCTTGAATAACCAAACCAGTCATTTTTTTGTTTATCTTCACTTTGGAACGTTGTCAGATCCTTACCAAGTGCTCAGTTAAAAAACGGCATTTAGCATGCCATTAATATGCTTGCTTTTTTAGAAACGCTTGCTTTCTCATGCGTCCTGGCTTTCCCATTTCATCCCTACGCCGAATACGCTCAGAAACATGACCCGTTATCGTTTCCTGAGAGATAGATCTCAATTGATTTGCTCAGGACCACTTATTCCGAATATGGGTTTGAAACTAAAAAGAAACGAATATGGATCACAAATTCTCATTTCTCGTCGGATTTAGGCCACTTAAAATTTGTGTTAAAAATAGCATGAGGTGGGATGGCTGCCTCCTTGCATGTGGGACTGCAGTGGACCAGAACAGATGTGAGTGAGGTAGAGGAGTGGGCCGTTGGGGGGGGGGGGGGGGGGGGGGGGGAATTAAAGCGAGTGCGTTGTGCCCTCCCTCCCCACAAAACACTTAGTATGGTAAAACGGCCCTGATATGCCTCCAGAGATTTGTAGTCCAACGAACGCCACAGGATTTGACTCGCGTCATTTTTAAATAATCGGTCTACATCCAGGTGCATCCCTCTCGAGCTTCCCATTGACTCACCCCTGCGGACAGCGGGTGACAATCGATGCACCATCGACCAAAACGCAAACACCCAGCGTGTGTCACCGTTAGTCCCCCCCCCCCCCCCCTCCTCCCCTCCCTCGCCCTCACCCGCAGCCCCCGCCGCCGCTTCTGTGGCTGCCGCCCGGCCGGCAGCCGGCGGTCACGTGACCGGTGACGTCACGGGCGCCCCGTTGCTCGTCGGCGGCGGCGTGCGGAGCAGTGCGCGCGGCTGCGGACCGGCGGAGGGGCGTGGCGTCAGCGCGGGCGGCAGCGGCGCGCCATGGGCAGCCTGGAGCAGCGGGTGGTGTTCGGCCTGGACCCGGCCGAGGCCGACCGCTGGTGGGGCGGCCTGCAGGAGGAGCCCTGGCCGCCGGCCGAGGCGGGCCGCCGCCGGTCGCCGCCCGGTCGCTGCCGCTGCCGTCTCACCCGTTGGACGCTGCTCTGGGTGCCGCTCTCGCTCTGCCTGGTGGCGCTCTCCCTGTACGTGGCCGTGGCGCCCTACTGGATCGTGCGTCACGTCGATGTCGGCGACGCAGGTGGGTCACCGCCCGGGCGGGAGGACGACCGCGCCGGCGCCGGCGCCGGTCGAACCCCGTCGGACGAGCTGGTCGTGAAACGGAGACGGGCTGCCGTTATCAGCCGACGGTGCGCGGTGGCGCCGCACTTGCGGCGGCGCCCGCGTGGTTCGGACGTGACCCGCCGAGGACGGCTCCGCAGCGCCGGACGCCCACGCGAATCGCCCGCCGCCGCACTTCCGCTGTGCCGACTGTCGCGCCCTGATCCGCCGAGTCAAAACAGACCACTTACAGCTGGCCCCCGCAACACGCCAGCATCGCGGCGCCCAGCGCGAATTCAAACCGTGACTCACTGGAACCACAAACATGGCCCACGGCCGTAATCCGGCGTCCACGTTGTCAGACGAGGAAACACATAGGGATGGGATTGCAGTGCCGAATTGCCGTCCTAAAATGCCGAATTGGTGCGCGGCCAGGGCACGTCAAGGCCGCTGTCATTGGATGGCTCCGTTTCATTGCGTGGCTGCACGTGGTCTGGTTAGCCACAAAGAGCTGTTACAAGTGACGTCGTGCAATGCACCTAGATGAGGGGCTAATCAGCTCTAAATGACGGTTCCAGCAGCGCCTGCTCCTTTGTGCGGAGTGGGGGAGAAGCAAGTTAGTTCGTATCTCGCCTCTTTCCAGGCAATGTCATGGGGCTGACGTCAAATTTGAGATGAGGTGGCTGCTCCCCCCTCCCCCCTTCATTACTCCTCCTTCCCCCGAATCCGCCGATCTTCGACAGTAGCCGCATCTGTGAAGAAGCGCCAGCGCCGCCTGGGTTTGGTGAGCGGTGACCCAAGCTCCTCTCCCGCGCACGTGACGCCCTCAGCTGCCCGGATTCACAAGTGCGTCCCCGGGGCCCGGCGCGTGCTCATCCCGCATGCTGATGCTGTCCGCCGCGTCGGCCGCGGCTGGCAAGTGCTCTCCTCGCCGGTGGCAGCCGGGCGAAAACAGAGGCGAAAAACAGCCCAGCGTACACCCTCGTTCACACACAGGCAGACAGACACACACGCGCGCACACGGGCCTCGTTCGCCGGGTGGTTCCGCGTATATTTATCCGGTGTTTACCGGTCGGGTGCTGGCGCGCGGCCGCGGGCTCTCACTCGGCGGCCGTTTACCCCGCCGGCGGTAGCTGCGCTCCGCGCTGGCCTGTTTAACGCCCCGTGGGCGGCAGCGGCGCCATGAAGTTCAGTTCAAAAGGCTCGTGAGCTAAACGGCGATAGCGCTGTCATGAGAGGAGGCAGAGGGAGACAGTTCAAAAGACTCGGGAGCTAGGCGGCGAGGGGGGCAGAGGAAGAGGGAGTTCTGTCTGAACGAGTTCGTTTAGGCACTTGCAGGGGGCTCACGTCAGCTGGCAGTCCGCGGAAACGTCACATTGGGTCTTGCTCGGTCGCATCCCCCCCCCCCCCCCCTGCCCACTGCCCGATGTGTCCTGCGCGGTCGACGCTGTTCAGCTTGCCGCCTGCTGTGTTCAGCACTCGGTGCTCAGCGCTCGCCGCCTGCCGCAGTGCAGCCCGGGAGTCAGCTCATTACTCAGCGACCATGACTCCTCGGGGTTCCCGCCCACACGCTCTCGCGGTGCTCGGTTCTCAGTGCGTCCGTCCGGCTCGCCTCTTCCATCTCACCGCTCCGAGCTCACCGCGCCGTGCTCAGAGCTCACCGCGCCATGCTCACCGAGCGCGTCACGTCGTGCCGCGCTCCAGTCACGGTTCGCCGGCCGTCACAGCCGGCCGCCGCCACGTCCAGCGACGGCAACGACCGCTAATGGAGCTCGCGCAGCGGAGGCGGCGGTCGGTCGCCTCCGCCGCCGCCGCCGTGTGCCCGGTCCGTCGGCGTCGCAGCTGGAGCCGGGCGACGGCCCGGCCGGCCGCTGGTCGCCACATGTGCCGTCTGATGCGGGGACGCGCCGGGGAGGGCGGCCGCTGGGCGCCGCGCTGACGGCGGCGCGGCGGCTGTTCGAGGAAGCGCGCGAAGAGCAGGGACGAACGATAAGCTGGAGGGAGGCCCGACCTCTGGCGGCGGTTTCTAAATGGGGCGAGGAGTGCGTCCCGCGGTGCGCGCGCTGACACAACCGCATGCCGCTCTGTGATGATGAACGGGATCTGTCGCCCGTGCCTTGGTCCGTCGTTTGTCCTCGGTCGTCTCCGAGTTTTCTCAGCTGGTCTCTGGCGTTTTTTGTTCCACCGGTCGGAATTCAACAGTTGCCAGAAGTCGTCCGCTTCCCTACTGCGCTGTTGAGGTGATGAGGTAAACGCCAGCCGGTCGGACTTACCGTCGTTCTGGCGCCGGTACCTTGATGGCGGTGTGCTACGCGATGGCGTCTTGCCGGCGAGCAAACACGGCTGCTGCCGGTTCTCTTGCCGTGGCTTGACAGTCTTTCTGAGAGAGCTGTCACGAGGCCCCGTGTAGTAAGCCAAGCCAGCCTGTGGACCCTTGTCACGCATGCAGGTCGCGATTGAGAAATGTCAAGTACGCTGTATGTAGTTGCTGTATGGTCACATGCGTAGCAGATTGCTGTTTTTCCTCATGCAGGCTGCCAATTTCCCAGGAATGTCGAAGATTTAACTTGTGCCATTCAGGCGCTCTGCCTCACATTTCGTCTCATACCAAGCTGCACGGCTGTATAGCTTGGCGTTACAAGCATCCGGAAACAATTTTATCTCGATGTAGTGTCGTGTTCCATTGTTGTGTCTTAGATCGGCAATTAACAAAACCAACCACGAGCCCGTTCTAATGCACTCCAGAAAGTTGGCATCGGCTCTTAACCAAAACATACCACATTGTCTGTGTCCGTGTCGTCTCACGTCAGAGTTCCAGTTGGATTCCTGTTGTACGTGTATGGGAAGGCTCACCTGCCTGTCCAGCCCGGCTTGCGGTGTCTTTGACGCATCTCAATTGGGTGCGAAGACGCGCTGAAGGAGATGGTTAAGTATGCCGCATCCCACGCACGGAAATAGTTCGATTTGGCGTACCCCGTGTGTTGGTTTGGATAATTGAACGAGCATGTGACTAACGTATGTCAATCTTCGTAACTGAATGAGAACATAACCGACACAACAGATCACTTAGGGAGCGCCGTGTACCGCCACTTGAAAGCTCACCGAAACTCGACTAAAAATAACTTGAATCGTATTTCGCATGTTGTACGGGCCGACGCACCCACCCATTGGTATGGGGAAACTATACCCATGTCCTACGCTGCGTTCGTTAAAGGCTCATTGTTGCAGCAAGCACGCTGGTTGTCATTTGACCAACTGTTGAAATACGCAGTGGCTGGGATTCGAACCGACAGTTACCACTTTAACAGTCTTTAACTACCGTGCTACCCCAACCTCAGTGTCCGCCCTCGGACTGTGACTCTGTATCCGTCCCCGCCGGCAGATAACGACTCTCGTACGCTCGTCCCTGGTGATGACTCCGGTGAGGTGTTTTCGGTGACTCTGTGTCCGCTACGCGTCGATGACTTCCTGTGTGCGCTCCGTGTCGATGACTCTGTGCGCTCCGTGTCGATGAACCTGTGTGCGCTCTGTGTCGATGACTTTGTGTGCGCCCCGTGTTCATGACTCCATGTCCGTCCCGTGTCGATGACTCCCTGTGCCCGCCCCGTGTGTATTAATATCCGTGTCCACCTCGTTTCGACGACTCCTTATGCCTACCCCCATCCTCAGTTGGTGACTACCTGTGTCCACCTTGTGTTGGTGACTCCCTGTGTCCACCTTCGCTCAGGGGGGGGGGGGGGTCACCCAGCGGTAACTCCCTGTGTCCACCCCTGCCTTCAGCGGGTGGCTAACTCCCTGTGTCCACCCCTGCCCTCAGCGGGTAGCTGACTCCCAGGGTGTGTCCGTGCCCTCAGACGGTGCGTCGGAGTCGTTGCGCAGCTCACTGGGCCTGTTCCGGCGCTGCCGGGCCGGCCAGCCGTGCCGCACATTCAGCACGGCTCACCTGCTGCGCTGGCGCCAGCTGCCTGGCCTCTGGCTGACGGCCGCCTGCGTCAGCGCGCTGGCCACGCTGCTGGCCGCCGTGGCCGCCGCAGCCGCCGCCGCCAGCTGCTGCACCCGCGTCTGCGGCTGCGTCAACATCTACAAGACGGCCGGCACGCTGAACATCCTGACAGGTTCGGGGGAGGGAAAGACGAGGAGGCCGGGAGCGAAGGGACGCTGGGACCTACTGAACGATGCTGGGGCGGAAAGTGTTGTCTTAGTTGATGGGTAATATGATGTTATATTTGATTAGCAATTGATAATTGACTAATTGAGGTTGTAATTGATGAAAGTGAAGACTTGTGAGCTGGTGGAAGTCTCACTTTGAAAGCTCGCTCGGTTCGGAGGGGTCAGCTGGGTGCTTGACATCCAGTTCTGGGACGGTAAAAGGTAGAACCGTGGGTGTTCAGCGTCACCTTCCAATTGTCATGACACCGGCCAGAGCATCAGCGGCGCGCTAGGACCCGCTGGCAGGACGGGCCGGGCGCTGCCGGTCGGTGCGGGGCGACATCTGACGGCGGCCGGGCGTCCGCGCCCGCGCGGAAGCCTCTGAACACCGCTCTGGGGAGGGTGGCGGGCTGTCGGTCAGCCCCAGCCGTCGGCTCGGATCAGGCCGGCCGGACGGGGAGGCGGGCCCCCCGCCAAACTCGGGCGGGCCGGGTGTCGGCCGTCGCTGGTCTGAGCCAATACCAGCATCGTTACCTGTCCGTCGGTGTCGGCCAGTCTGGCAGAGCGAGCGGTCATGAAGTGAGCGCTGTGATGTGGCAGTCTAATGTGTTCCATGTGGGCGCTCATAGAACGCGTTAGTTTGGCCCTTAACAGCACGTTCAGCCCCTAAGTGGACCTAACAACTTATTGATGCGTATGGTGTCAGCCTCTTGAAGGGTGGTGGAAGGTTTAGCACTGTTTAAGACGCGCGCCTCCTGTGTTTCAGTCTTGTGTCACGTGGTGGCGGCAGTGGTCTACCCCATAGATTGGGGGTCGGCCGTAGTGAAGGACATGTGCGGTGACAAGGCGGAAGCGTTCGTGCTCGACCAGTGCTCCATAGGTGGGAATGTAACTACGCGTGACGAACATTGTCCGTATTTGATCACGGATCATGTAGGGATTAGTTTGATCAGAACACCACTGTGTGGTACACGTTCAGGATCATTACGAATACTGACCATTGAACCCAAAAGTTAGATGTTGCGATTTGTTTTACAGAACAAAATGAAAAGTATACCAAGTTACAGGTACAACGTCTGAAGTTTATCCTACCTAAAATGTTACAACTTTTTAGTTGCCTGTTGTTTCCGGGTGTCAGGAATACGCACAATGGATAGCTGTTTAATTTTCAATTATTACTATCGTTTTTGTGTTTGGAAATCGAGTCTACTTTGTTGAGGAGAATTGCTCTATTGCAGGCGGCATTGCAGTACATAAAACATTCATTTTTTTCATTCAGGAAGAAAATTGTTCAGGGTAATATTTTTACAACCTGGTCCCCCGAAACTGCGTCCCACCTATGGAAACAAACATCACGCTTGTTGCGTCACATACATCCTTACTTCTGACCACGACTTCTGACTTTGACTGCTGCGTACGACCGTATACAACGGCGCTGCACGACAGTCAGTCGGGTTTCGGTGTGTTGTTCAGCTTTCGTGGCACCCCGGCCGCCTGTGTGCTGCAGTCATGCACGACTTTGGTGATGAGCCCCGTTTCCAAACTGGTTCGCGTGCGCGCCGATGAGCCCCGGCTTCGCCGGCCACACGCCGTGACTCACCAGCGGCATCGGCTCCCCTGGAGCCCGCCCCCGCCGCCTGTCGTACAGCTCGGGCGCTGAGATAATAAACATGCGCACTGCCCGCAGGCTGGTGCGTTTACGCGCTGATGCTGGCCACGCTGCTAAACATGGCCTGCGCCGCCCTGGCGATGAAGATCGACGCCGCCACGCCCGAGTATGTCGAATACGGCGGTGTCAAGTCCTAGTCAGGACCTGCGTGCCGACCGGTCAGGTCAGGTCAGGTCAGGTCAGGTCAGGGTCGAGGGCGACTCACGGCGGGCGCCGGACAAGCTGCAGAGGTGGTGATCTCAGACAGAGTCTGGCGCTGCACGTCCGTCGCCGCCGCTGGGGGGAAACCTCCGGAAGGCTGCGGAGTGGACCCCAGCACGCGGGAATTTCCGCTCGTCACGGCCGTGTGTCCGGCAGAGAGTGGCGCCGAGTCGGTGTATCAGGCCGCCGAGTCGTGTAGCTGAACTTCCGACTCACGGAGTCACTCACGGAGTCGGACCATTTATCATGGACTAATCCCTGAATCATGCACGGTGCACGAGCAAGAGCAAGCGTGCAATCACAGGCATCCGCCGCTGGCAACATTGCTGCTTCATGCACGACGAGATCAAGCCCCCTCCGACCACCCCGTCCCCTAAGCTGTAACCGAAACTCTTCGCACTGGCGGTCACCACCGCCGGCCGGGCTGCCTGCCGTCCCGCTAGAATCTCAGAGCGCCGTTTCAGGCTGGGGAGAAGGTACCGGACCGGGCCCGGCACCTCACCGCCCAGGCGACCCGCCCGCGCGGCCGCCTCTCATGTGTGACGCACGCGGTGGGCGTGGGATGTGTGAGGCGCCAGGCGACCTCTCCATCGCGCTGGTACTCATGCGGACCGCGCTGGGCGGCGCTCGTCGCGAGCGCGTGCCTGAGGGGCGGAGCTTGGTGCCGCTTTGAGCGGTGGGCCCGGGCCGGCGTGCCTTTGTGCAGCGATGAGCGCTGGAGTTAATTCACGTTGCTTGAGCGTGCTTGACTGCGACGAGCGCCACCCGCAGCGGACGCTGCGCATGGGGATGGCTAGTCGCCGTCTTGTAGCCATCTCGCATTGATGAAAAACAGGGCGGCAGCGAAGCAACAGCGTCCCAAGAAGTGCGGCTTACCAAGCGTGACGGGGGATACATGGGATGTGAGCGTGTCTTATGGCCTGGGCTTCGTCGACACCGCCTTTGTGATTTTGCGCGTGGTGTTGTTGAGGGTTCCGCAGGCCCTTGCTTCGGAGCAGGGCCTGAAGAGAGTGCGGGCAATAGGGGCATCCTGCCAGTGCGATGCACGGGGACGCGAGTGGTTAAGGCGGCTTGGGCTTTTGTCATGTCTTTAGAGCCTGTTGGACGTGATGCAGGCGGTACTGACACCATCAGTAGTAAGAATACGGTGCGATCAGTGACTTCAGAGGACGTGCCTTGTCTCAACGGGTTCTCGATTGTTGAGAGGAGCGAACAAGGACGGAAGAAATGGTGGGCAGGCTGTGTGGTCTCGCGCATCAGCAGACGTGTCAAGGCAGTGAGCGAAAGACGGTGAGTGGAAAGCGTGTTACGGCGAAGGCGGAATGCAGGCGCCCCAAACCATCAATAGACCCCCCGTCGAAGGAATCTTGCCGTCTTCCCTGCGCATTGTTCGTCTGTGTTTGTTTGCTTCTCCGAGATGTGAGGCTTCTTTGTATCGGAATTGAGTTCATCGATTTTTTTGACGTTTTTTAAATAAGCAACTGATCTTAGATACCGTGCGACGTGTTCCCAAAATAAACAAGTGTTCACGGTTGTCATGTTCGACTACCCACACCACATCGAGCTCAAAATAGAACATCACGACGCAAGAAAGACACGCGGCAAGTCAGGCCGCACCTCCCATCTGCGCAGAAACCTGAGATAGAAACTCGACAATAATGAAATCATACTAGCCATCAATGAGAATTTAAGAGAAGAAGAAAGATCTGGCAAACGTATTGCGACGCATTTTAAAAAATCACGTTAACCAGTACCTTCGTCTAACTTCGCAAACTGTGCTCGGCTTTGTGAGAACCGCAAGCATTGTTGAGCCGGCGAAGCCGGAACGCACACCGCTGTAAATTGGCATTCGAATCCGTCTGTCGTTACGTAATGGCGGACTCAAGGCTTTTGAAATAAAGGCAGCACAGAGCAGCAGGCATCGTTCCCGGATCTGTAACCGCCGACTTTCCTCCACCACCAGCAAGCACGGATGGAAAACAATGTATTTTAATTTCGTCATCGGTAAAGCATCCCCGACCGCACATTCAGAAAAGTAAATAAGTTAGACCGTAGTGACACAAACTATCACACATCCACACACACTCACCAGGCTCACAGCTATCTACACACGCGCCGGTTTGTGAGACAGTTTGTACCTGGGAACGGTAACGGAGCGCCACGTATAATGCATATCCCGGTCGGGCCGCCAGCATCCGCCAGCGACCCGGCCGCCCAGACCCAGGAGTGCCTGGACAACTGGGCACTCGCCGAGTGCCCGACACTCATTCACTCATCGGGGAGCGCGGCCATCTCCGGAGAGTCCGGAGCGCGCCCGAGGTTCCCACACAGTGGGCGGGGTAGCAGGTCCTGAGGTCCGGCACACACAGCGCGCGCGCGCCGACGTCGCGCGGCCGCCCGGAGGCGCGCCGGCGTCACTCGGGGGCCGACAGACCCGGCAGGTAATGCCACGACCGGAAGTAAAGCAGCGCCGACAATTACTCAGCAGGCCAGCGCATCACAGACCTACGCCACGCACTCTCTGGCGCACACATGCCTGTGTGTACACGGCTCTATGTGCACGCGATTACACCAACGCTACAAAACCTGCGTCACTGTTCAGGTTATGAAAGGGGTAAAAATTCATTAAAACAGCTCATAATATGTCGGTGGACGATAAATAACGAAATGTCGACATGGTGCGCGTACATTAGGTACCTGAAAAGCATTGATCGTTCACGTGTGTGCCGCTGTACCAGGGCCGGCGAGCCGCCAGCCCGCCGACGGCGCAGGCCGACGGCGCCAGCCAAACGAAAGCGTAAACAGCAGAGTACTAGAGGGTCGCTCGAGCGCTGGGCACACACCGACCGACCCCCTCTGTCTGTGGCGAACAGCGGACGTCACGCGCAGAGGCGCGAGCGCAGGGTCGCCCGCCCCGTGCGCGGCTCTGTCGCGTCCGCCGACGCACGGCGCGGCACCGCGCGCCCCTGGCGGGCGCCCACCGAACTAACCAACTAAACAGTCGACATTGCACTGGTGTCACCCCTGATGCTTGAGCTCTGCTGGTTCACGACTGGGGGCAGCCCCGGCCGGGCCCGGTCCGGTCGTGAGCCCGGACCCCGCGGCCGCAGTGCGCGGGACCACTGGAAGAAGACGAGAGAGGACGAACTAGCGCACACACGCGCACAATCGCCCACGCACGCCTAACAACACCAAACGGACACCGAGGAACGCACACGCACACTCTCGCGCGCGCACGCATGGGGCGAGGCGAGGAAGAGCTTTTGATTCTGGGCCCGGCTGTGGACTGGAGACGTCTCGCACGCGCCAGCTCGCGCGACCCGGCAGGCCAAGGGACTGAGTGAGTGGAGGAGTGAGGGTGTGAGTGGGTGAATGATTGCCTGAGTGGGTGGCTAGTGACTGAGTGGGTGAGTGGCTGTGTCAGTGTCCGGGTGCGTGCCTGAGTGGCTGGTGTTTGACTGGGTGAGTGAACCCGTGAGCACGTACGTGAGTGGTATCGTGCTCATGTACGTGTATCGGCCGACCCATCCAAAATCAGTCGGAATAGAGGGCGCCAGAGAGCCAGCCACGGGCACGTCCACGCCCGACGGCCAGTACGCACGCCTCCTGTGACTGCCCCTGAGCGGGCGTTTCCGTGCTAATAGCACGGCCGTCTGTACCACTGCTGACTCCTGTCTGTGCGTGTGGATGAACGCGCACGTGCGACTGCGTGAGCGTGTTCGCGTGTCTATCTGCGTGCGCTACTGGGACACCGTACGCGAGCCGACCGCGAGACCGGGACGACAACGCCCGCGCGCGCGACTGTGCGCGCCCGTGTGCCAGGACGGCGCCAGGCGGCGCGGTCGCCGGCCGCGCACGCGCGCGCGAGCCGGCGCGTCCGATGCTCCGCAGGTACCCGTCGACAGAGGGCGATGCAGGGGCGGCTACCGACCGACGGCCGGCAGCGCCGCCTGGCGTCATGGGTCGGAGTTACTCAGCGAGGTCGACGGCGTGGCTTCCGGGTCACTGCAACGCGAGGCGACGGGTCAGTGGATCAGCGCACAGGCGCTGACGCATGTAAACAGTGCGGAGTCGGGCCGCGCACAAGGGACCAGCGGCCAAAAAACGTCAAAACAATCACTTCGAGCTTCAACGGGACGTGGCGAACTGGCTGGCGCACAATGAGTTCATCTTTGTATACCTCGTGCAGAAAAAGGCCTGTTTGGAGCGACCCGATACGTTTATGCTGAGATTGCGGTTCCGCGAATAGCAGCAGCGACACGCGAGGTGGCTGTCGGTCTGATACGTTGTGATTCGAGCAAGCTGCGCCACCGAAATTAAATCCTTAGTTGTCAACATTAATGTATTTATTTCGCTTAGCGTGCGTGTCAATTTTATCACGACCTTGAAAGGCAATGCAGGCCTTCTTATTTTTACCCTGAACGCATCACATAGGCATAGCCATTCCAGCTCAACGGATAACTCTGTCCCCGGCGTTCAGGTCAGATCCATCTGTCGACATATCCTTCGTTCTCGAGCCACGCAAAACATAGCAACTTGTTCTTGACCCAACATACAACAACATACAACCCAACATACAACAACAAAACCCAACATACAACAACATACCACCCAACACACAACAAAACCCAACATACACAACAAAATCCAACATACAACAACATACAACCCAACATACAACCCCTCATACCACAACAAAACCCAACACACAACAACAAAACCCAACATACAACAACATACAACCCAACATACAACAAAACCCAACACACAACAACATACAACCCGACACACAACAACAAAACCCAACATACAACAACATACCACCCAACATACAACAACAAACCCAACACAGTCCTTGAAATGCGGCAGACGTGACCCAGGTCTTGTCATTGAATACTCACATGGGATTGCCCCCTCGTGATCCACGTACTCGTCTCCCCACCACCACCACCTCTCTCCACCCAACTTCTCCGCGACCCCGGACATCCCTTCGCGCCGTCTCCCCCCTGAGCGCCCCTTCTCCCCAGTCGGCGTCCGCGCGTGTGGGGATGCGCTGTGCGTGCCTCTCTCTCACTTGAGCCGGGCGCGCCGGCGGCGTCTGAGGGTGCTGAAGCAGCCCGAGCTGGTCTCCGGCGGCGGCAGGTCCTGGCGCAGGTCGTCGCTGCGCGAGTAGTCCGGGCCGTACACGTTCAGCTCCTTGAAACAGCCCGTCTCCAGCATCTGCCGAAGGGACGTGACATGAGAACGTGAAATGGGGACATGAGATGGGGACATGAGATGGGGACGTGAGATGGGGACGTGAGATGGGAGCATGAGATGAGGACGTGAGATGGGGACGTGGGACGTGGGATGGGGCGTGAGACGGGGAGGGGACGGAACACGCCGTGGAGTGAAACAACGCGGTAGAACGCGACAGGGCGTGACAGACGTGGAGTGAAACAACGCGGTAGAACGCGACAGGACGTGACAGATGTGGAGTGAAACAACGCAGTAGAACGCGACAGGACGTGACAGACGTGGAGTGACACAACGCGGTAGAACGCGACAGGACGTGACAGAGCGCTGCGGGGTGCGGTAGAATGCGACGGCACGTGACGACGACGGCGACTGACCTTATTATACGATTTCGTGTCAGCCTGAGTTATGTCAGTCACTGAGTCCGACTCAGCAACCGTCTTAATGTTCAATCTCATTCAATAAGTCACGTCGTTGCGAACCATGTTCTTGATAGACACGCGCACACGTCAAGTCCGGAGTTGATTCAGGCCTAAACAGACGGTAGTTTAACACACGACAGGTGTCCAAACAGCCGGTTACGTGTATTTTTGTAAGCCTGTTCGTCATCAGGCTAAGCGGATAAGTCATGAGAAGGAAGCTCGACAGTGGCAAGTAAGTGTTGGTCTTGGCTCTAGCAGAAGCTCTTGCACACAGGGTAGCAGTGTTTATACACACATAGTACGCTTTGCTCAGAGAGCGCCGGTTTGTTGCTTACTTTCGGGAACGCGCCGCCTAAAACACGCGATCACAGCATCGATGCCAGTTGCAGGGCTGTGCTTCTTGCAAATAACCAATTAGCCTCAAACGGCACGGTAACGCGCCAACAGAGGAGCGTGGCTGTTCTAGAGCCTGGCCATGAGGATGTCCCAAATGACTGAACGACGATATTGCAACTACTCGCAACGAAAAACGTCATTGGTTGAAATGTATGATCGGACAAAATGATGCACGAGGATATTGCAACTACTCATGCTATCAACTACCTTATTGGTTGAAATGCATAATCGGACAAAGCGATGCAAATAATGTTATTGCTGAACAATACGGGAATTTTGTTAAATTGGAGGACTTTAAGTTAACAAATGAAACGAAACGAAATGCCATGCAATACAATGCAAATGCGAATGCGAGAAAAACATGACACACAACAAAACAAAAAGACAGAATGTGATAAAAATCAATAGCGTGTCAGATAGCAAAACCAAAACACTCCAGGAACATAATTGCGCATCTACCGAACAAAGCTGCGTTCACGACGCCAAGCCCAGTT